TGCTTGAACCTACTCTTTGTTTAATCCAGCCCCTTCCAACATAGTCTTGGTTAAAATAAACAATTTCCTCTTTCTCTGACGTCTCTCCAAGTTTCCTAACTCTGGTTTTTCTCATGCTATTCTCTCCCTCACACTTCCCCTCCGTTTTATAATCCTACCCAATCTTCAAATCCCAACTAAAATGCCATTTATTCAAGATGACTACTAACTGCTTCCAACTATTCCACACCCTACAGTATCCAGATTCCTGTGTTACACTTACCACATTCTTTCTTGTGTTAAGTGTCTCAATCTCCTAACTAGGTTATAGGCAACTCGAGAATAGGAACTGTGTTCTGTTCACCTGTAATGTTGCATAGAGTAGACACTCAACGCTGTTTTTAAACTTTTATTAAATGAAGTTAAGTAGGTTTGTCTTAGTGAGTGCCCCTTTTAGCTCATGTAACCCCTAAAATAACTTTATAAAAATCTAGGTTTGATTTCATTTCTTTTGATAACTATTGATCCACAAATTTTATCACAAATTTAAATATTTCAAAGGATATATTTTCTCTTACATGTGTGCTTTATATATATTATATTTAAACTTTGCAGTTGCAGGCTTACCTAATTTATAAAAAATAACTTCCATATAATTTAACTGGCAAAGCCAATTCATGTGTTCAAGCCAGACAAATAGCAAAAGTACACATTCAATCAGAAAATGTCTGACTTTATTTCAAAATTCCGATAAATGTGGGTGCTAATTCTTAGATGGGTAGGAGCCCTCCCAGGGGGCCTGGGTGAATGCAGGCATTGGCTGCACAGAGAGCTTTTCCTGATGCTCTCCGCTTTGCTCTCTTGGTTCTCCCTGGAGAGGGCTGCATTCTACAATTGTTTAATGCCCTAAAGATGTTTACACCTTGGGGTGATGAACCTGAGTAAAATGCAGGTAGGCAATTGGTCCATCTCTCTTCTCTAATGTAAAGGCTACTTGCACACACAGGGCAGGTGGACATGGGGCTGGGCAGTCCACAGGTTTGAAATGCATAAACATGGAAGTTACAGTTCTAGATATGTATTTCATTTAAGCTGTCCCTGCCCGTGTCCCCCTAGGAAGTCTCTGTGTACCCCAGGAATGGGTGTTCCCTGGTGTGAAGGCAGCTGACCTGGAACAGAACCACAGAGGGGGTTTCATGTCCTTGTACACAGACAAACCTTGTTAGTGTTTTAGAAAAGTTGCCCTCCACTTCACAAAGAAAGTCAAGGCTACTTTGTTGCTCAAAAGATTGCCACCTTCTTCCAGGGGAAATCACGCTTTAAGAGGCAATTTCATCCAAAGAAAAGATTTCATCGAACTCTTCGTGCCCTTCAGAATGGAGGCAGCTCATTGGTAGTTGCCAGCTACCCTCCTCAGGGGCGCGGGGCAGATGCAGGCCGTCACGGAGCTGCCCGGGGCGGGGCGCCCAGCAAGGGGTCAGTTTAATTCTAGGATGTTGCTCCATTGTTTGTTTATACCCACATGTTGACAACTACAGTTGTTATTACCACAGACAGTCATAATCATAATCTCGACACACTTAATTGGTGTCCTAAATGAACTAGACACAAGGCAGAACTTGTCATTAGACACAGGATCCTTACTATTTTAAGACTTGGAAAGTACTCTTGTGATTTTACAGGCATCCTGTCTGGCATTATGGTTGTCTGAAAAAGAAACCTTTAATTCCAAATTCTTAAGCAATCATATCATTTGATTTTTGCTGAGAATTTGGCCTAAAAAGCAGTAGTATCAATAGGGGAGGAGGCAGATTCAACTTTGGGGAGCCGCAAGTTTACATTTTGGGGGAGACTCATTAAGAAAGAAAATATAAAATTTCAAATAAGCTTCAGGGCTCATGCAAGCTTCAGTTTCTTTAGCTTCACGGCAAATTCACTTGTACTGCAGGAACAGCAATCGTGTTTCTGGCTTAGTACTCACACTTAAAATACACGTTTTAAACTATTCCAGGCATGTGTGAACCTCAAGATCCGCACCTTTATGATCTCCAGGGTCTGTATTATCCACTGCTTGGAAGGTTAATCAGACCTTCCAATTCTCTGCTGAAAGCCTGTCTTTTGTTCTAAGACAGAGGCTACAGATTGGTGGGCTGTGGGTCAGACTGGTCTGCAGATAGTTTGCGGTGATACTGTTTTGCCTTTTTGTTCAGTGTTTCTTAAAGAAGTGAATTAAACTTGTCATACTTTAAGAACCATCAAATTTCAAATAAAGAACTGGTTTCTTTCTTTTTTTTCTTCCTTTCCTTTCATCCTTCTCTTGAGAAACTGAAAGAGCATTCCACAGTGGACTTGGAGTTCACACAATGACAGATTCTGGGCAGGGCCCGTTGACCCTGTCCCCATTTGGCTCTTCACTGATCCATAGCCGCCTGCCTGACCTTGGAGCCCTTTTCTTCATGACCAGGCTCCTGCCCGGGCCGGGTGCCTCACTCCCCTCCACCCTAGTCCTGGCCTGACTTTGTCCTCATTGCTTTGTCCGCTGATTTCTAAGCTTTTTGATATCTTAATGATGTTTTCCTTTTTAAAATAGTAATTAGCTGTGCATTATTGATATTTATACCCCATTTTGTTAACTACATTGTTTTATAAATCTTTTTTTTTCCACTTGTACTTGGTCATTCTCTGATCAGTTCATAAAGACTGACATTTTTATTACAAATGTCTTTTGTGCTTCATTTCATATTTTGTACCAGCTTCTTCCCTTTTCTAAAAGTGATACATAGTACATTTAATTTTTAAGAAATTTTATTGGAGTAAAAACCAGTCAGTTTGGGACTCTCAGGGCTCCTGTTGCCGTCAGTCTTCATGGCACTGGGACTGAGGCTGTTACTTTGGATTGTCATCCCCTTGACAGTGCGGTTGTCACTGTCCTGTAACCACAGAGAACTCTCTCTTCTCCCCGACGCACATGTTGTAATATGTGGCAAAAGGTAGATTTGGCCATTCATTATGGACCTCTACATTACTGTTCTCTAAGTTTACTTTAGGCTTCTGTGTAAAATTCTTGGGATTTTTGCTTAAAAAAATTCAGAATTAAAAGAAAAAAAATGTGATGAAATTTATTGTTGATCAACACTAAATCCTTTTGAAAATAAGGCTCAGTATCACTCAGTGCAGCAGGCAACAGAAGCAGGCTGCCAATCCATCAATGATGTAGCGCGCTGACAGGAGAACACCAGCTAGATTACCTGTGAGAAAACTCTCAGTTTACTTGGGAGAAACAAGTCAATAGTTTTTTTCCCCCCTTGTAATTCTGCTGCATTTGGATTAAAGATTCAAAGGAGTCTTGTTTGGGGCATTACATGTATATGTACTTAAAAAACATCTATGAAAACGGTAGTTAAAAAAATTAAATCCCAGTAAATATTTACTCAAATTAACACACAGCCTATATAGTTGGAAAAAGAAAAGATTTTTGGATATATATTTTATTTGACAGTGTTTTAGAATATCATACAGTAAACAAGATTTCTGTAAAAGTTAATTTATCCATAGTGGTGCGTTTCATAAAAATAGTTGCTCACTTACAGTCTTTCTGTGACTATTAATACATGGAATTATATTTATAGAGATACAGCTGTACAGGGTAAATTCACAGCTAACACTACACAGAAATATTATTTGGAATGGGATTTAGATGATGTGCTGTCTTCACAGGTTATGGATTACAGCCGCATAAAGCAATTACTGCACAAGTAGTAGCTGTGAACTGTGCAAATTAGAGTTTATGCAAGCGTAATCTCAGTTTTTTTTATCCTTTTGTAACACATGGAAAATAAATGTCAGAGGATACAGTACCGGGACGTGCAGCTACACTACAGAAGCATTGTCCAAAACCAGATTCAATAAATTAATGGCAAACTATACTGGATTTCTAGTCCAGGGGAGAAAGACTAATTGAGATTAAACCAAATGTATTGTAAACTGCTACATGTGTTTGTGCTTTTGTTTATGATGAATGGGTTCCATTTTTGGAAATTGCTTTTACAAGCTGCAAGACTCTTCACTTGAGGCTTTCAACCATATTTTCCTCTTGTCAAACAACTGCATTACTCCTATGCCTGATGAAAATTAAATGGCTAGTGCTCAGGATACAGCAATTACAAAGATGGAAAGGGCCAACACAGGGAGGTTGTTAGGTGAGACCTTGTGTGCTAGACCTGCTCTCCCTGCTTTCCTCATCGACTACAAGTGCAGGGAGGTGAGGCTCATTTGCATTTGAGCTCCTATGAGGGCCAGTTTACCAACAGGATGAAGCCTCATTCATTCAGACCATATTAAAGACAAACTGCCCTCAGAGACATTTAGCCTTTTAATATGTGTAGCTACAAATAAGTAACAATGTGTGAATGAAAAGGGGGCTGTATAACAGAACTGACAAACTCACGGGGTTACATGGCAGACCTGACATGCACTGTAACAAAAAGTAATCACACAGAATGGACTGATCATAAATTCCTGTTTCTCCTTTGATTCTAAATGAATAAAATGACCTGGAAAACTGACACTCTCCAGAGCATTTTCTCAATCCATTGGGACTTGGCTTCTGGGCATTTTCTCAAAAATCTGGCTCAAATAAATTTTTATAAAATTTTTCTAAAGGTTTGGAGATTCTTTGGTTGACAAATGGATACCATTTTTTCCCAAAGAAATATTAAAGTAGCAGGGCAGAAAAGCAAGCCTTAGAATTTTACTAGGGGATCAACCATAGATCGATGAAGATAAACAGAAACATCTAGGGATTGCTAAAGGAATAAAGCTTGGTAAAGACCAGTAGGAACCAATATATATATATATATATATATATATATATATATATATACACACATATATATATATATATATAAATATAAAAAAGGCAGCAAACCAAATGGAAATAAAAAGAGGGAAGAATAAGGAAAGATAAGCAGAAAGGAATGTGAAAAGGATTTATGTTCTTTAATGAAAATAAATTGGTCATAATGATTTTTTAGTATCAGGATTTATTATAGTCTGAAAAATATAGGAGAAATACTTTGCCTCTGCTCTATGAAAGTGAAAATGAATTCATGAAGAGGATTTTTTTAAAAGACAATAAAATAAGTGAAATATAACATTGCTGTCAAAGAAGCTGCTATCTCTGCTAGCCTAAGACAATAGGAAAGCCCTTTCATGAAAGAATTGCAGCGTTGCCAATCTTGGTTAAACAAATTGTGGTTCTATGAAATTCATATTTTAGATGAAAACCAATTAAGATCTATGAGCTAAACCGCGAAATTCTGACTGACTTACGGCAGACTGTTCCCTAGGATACAATTTTTAAGACCTTTTTTTTTTCTCTACCACTGAAAACATACAGAAATATGATTTGATCACAGAAATGGCAGTAAAAATGGCATCATACCAATGAATTCACTAGATTTCTAACTCATCCTGCACTACGCAGAGAACGTTGCTGCTAATACCAGTGATGGATGTCACGGGTGAGCCATGGAAACAGGTCATGGGCGAACAGTTCTTAATGTTTCAAAGAAACCTTTTTAACCCCTGTCTAGATATGTCAAGAACAATTTATTTACAACTCTTTAAATCAATTAAAAGATATACTCTTGTCTCAGTTTCAGCTTGCTCCGTGCAGTTTGATTTTTAAGGCGATATTCCAGTTCGTGATTGCTCTTAACTTGTCCAGTTTCTTGATATAAAGTTTGGATGATATCCAGATCCTTCATGCAGTGGGGGGATTTTTTTTTTCTTTCTTTTTTAAACTAAAGCTACACTGCACTGTCTCACCATGACGTTCTTCACGTAATTTTGGTTCTTCGATAGCTGCGGAAGCCCCCACAGCGGAACCGGGGGCTTTGGGATCAGTTTCGGTCTGCTCGTGGGGGCTGGGCCGCCTATGCTCGGTGGACACCTGGGACCTCACGTCGAAGCTCCCAGGCCTCGGTGCCTTGTGAATCTACGCGTGTGACAGTGAAAATAAATTAAAACGCCGCGAGACGTAACCGAAGAAGAACGGCCTGCAGGCGTCGAGGCAGGGCGGCGGGCTGGGGCCGCGCAGCTCATCGGCCGGCGGCCGAGGCTCCGGGTTTGAGGACGCCGGACAGCTTGTCGGAGCCGGGTACCTTCCAGGGCCCCGGCGCCAGGGCGGCCTTGCGCGCGGGGGCGCCCCCCGGAGGCCGCGCGCCCGGCCGGGGTCCCGCGCGCGCTCCCACCCGGCCCTCCGCCTCCCGCGCACCGCCGCCGGGGCTCGCGAACGCAGGCGCAGCCCCGGGGCCTTCGCGGCGGCCGAGCTCCGGGCCCGTCGCGGCGCGGGGCCCTTCCTTCCCGCCGGCCCGCGCCACGTCCACCGCGTCCGCCGCCGCCGCCGCGGGCCCGGACGCCCTGGCCTCCGAGGAGGGCCTGCCGGCCTCGGGCCGCCCCTGGCTGCCGGGCGCCTCCTCGAGCCTCGGCCGCGCGGCCCTCTGCGGGCTCGCCGAGCGCTCCCTCTGCTCCCCGAGGCGCTGTTTCTTCTGGCCGCCAGCTGAAAGCTCCTTTGGTTTCCTAACGTCGTGTTCCCTTTTGATATCCCAAGTCGGGTCTGGGCTTATCTGGTGGGAAGGGTCGGAGGGTGGGGCTGGATGTGATGGAGAGAATGGCGAGAGGACGTCTTCCGGGGAGACGCCTACTTCCTGCAGACCTGGGGAGGCGGCAGCGGGACCACTCCAGGAGCTGGGTTCGTCTGCGGGACAGGAAGCACAGGCGTTAGGAGCCGAGCCGCCGCGCGGGCTTTCGACGCTCCCGCGACCTCTCTACGTCAGGGACTGGAGCAGGTAGCCAGGGGCGACTGCTTTCAAGGTCCCAATCCACCGCCACCCCCACCCTCACTGCCAAGGGGGCAGCCGGCAGCATCCCCGGGGCTCGGTGTTCTGCCGCCGTCTTTACCCCAACCCCTGCTCTCCTGACAAGGGAGGTCCCTGCCGAGCCCGGTCCTAATCCATCCCTCCACTTTGGCCACTTCTAACTTCTGCGTGTCATCAGGCCTGACGGTCCTCTTTATATATCTGAACAACCTATGGAAGTTGGGAACGATACGAATTCCTGGGTGGCCAGACCCAGAGATTCCAGTAGGATAGGTCCAGGAATTGCTCTGCGTTTTTAACAGCAACCAGGTGGCTCTGAACGTGGTCTAAGAACCAAACTTTGAGAAACACTGGTCTGAGTTCTCTGGAAAAAGTTAGGAGAATGACTTTTCCGACCATTAGGTGTCACTCAAAGCATAACTCTCAGCTACCGTCAGATAGTCTCAGAATTTGGATATATTCATCAAAAAACGTTCATCGTTGTCTTTTGGAAATCATTATCCTTAATTCTTTTCGGTAGTTCTAACATTATAAAACTCCTAGCACTAAGATAAATGATTCTTTCTAGGAATCCTAGTTTCAAAATTTATTTGGGATTTAAGATCTTTAAGAAAGGGTTTCAGATAATTTGCAACAACCAAACACATACAAAAATAGAATGATAAAAATGAGAAATGACTTTTAAAAAATGCAACCACTGGTCAGAAGCCAAGTAGAGGGAGAACGGATGAGTTAGTCACCCCTATGAGCATTAACATTGCACCTGAGTTTCTGGCCACTAAAGCAAAATTAAAGCAGGGATATCCAATACAGTGAACCCTTAATATTTGTGAGGAATATATTCTATTCCTTTGGAAATCCTCAAATTTTGGAATGTCATTCTAGAGTGTATTTTTTCTCCATAGAATTGGTATATGGTTATGTGTGGGGAACAAAGAAGCCACGCTGATATCTGAATACGGAGTGGCAGGCCAGGCACCCCACTAGCCAAGAGAGGCAGCCCCCTACACCAGTCTCGGTGTATGTCACCCAGATTCCTGCCACTGGAGTGTCATGTGTCAGAGTCTGTCTGGGCCCGTTATACACACTCAGTCCATCAATATCAAGGGTCTACTTTGTTTACAGATTGAGGGTTCTTATCTGGTACCCTAGATGCTGAATTATAAAGAGAGGAGAGGAAGAGGGCAGGATAGTTCCATTAATTCTGGCCACCTGTAGAATATCAAATCAGTTGTAAAATTTTTTTCCTTTGATGTTAAATTTGAATGGAATATTTAGGACACAATGTTCTCTTCCTTCTTTCCATAGACTGATGTCAATTATTATGTTTACTCACTTAGTAGTGGGTAAAAAAAGCCTAGAAAAGCATCAGAAGAACTGGAATCCAATCCTGCCTCTGGCATTTACCATTGATGTGGTTTTGGACCAACTACTCCATCTATCAGAGCCTCAACTTCTCCCTTTATAAGGTGAAGATAAAATGTCTGCCTCATTGAGGTGAGACGTGTACTTTCAAAGGGCAAAGCACCTTCAATGGAAGGATTATAACAAGTTTTTACACATAGTGAGTCAGATTTTTCTATTGTGCCCCATTGGCTGCGTACATACATACTGGACCATATTAACTAGCATACTTGCCAGGGAGATTTTGAGTCAGTAAGTCAGCCATTCCCATATGCTGATTCCCTGGTGTAGTTTTGTTTTACCTCAGGTATCCTTGGAATATTTTGAAATCCTCAGATGCAAATATTTTCTATGAAAGTTGTAGTATATTACTCTGTTTCTGGGTTAGAATTTTAAAATTATAGTTTTAAAATGATAGCTGGTGGCAATGTCACTAACATAGGAAGATATAGCCTGAAAGAGTTAAAAGTGATGTTCAAAAGGCCTAACTAGAGGGTAGTTGTGCAATGGTACAATGGTAATCTCTAGCTTGGACCATCAAAGGGATGTTTCACATTTTAATAGCTCTTTCCCCCCATTACATCACATACAGTAGAGTCAATTAGCTGGCCTCAAATTACTTCTGAGATTCAGGGAGGTTGAGATTATTCACACCATTTCCTGAAGGAGGAATTGAAGCAGAGAGAGATTAAGTAACTTGACCAAGATTACAAAATGGGTAAACCAGGAGAAAAATGTCATATTTTTTTTACTCTTGTTACTTATTGAGAAAATTTTCCTAAGATGTAGCCTTGCAAATAGGATTAAAATACATGAAATGGATGTGCCAAATCAGCCGCCACTGGTGACCAACAGAATCAAGATCCCAGTAAGGAACCGAAAACAGCATTCATTTCTGAACTTGCTTACAATGGTAAAGTAGAAGGTAAAATTATTCAAAATACAAAAATATAAAAAGAATCCCTCTTATAAAAACACTTCTCAAGTGTTTGTTTACAGATTATTAAATGCTTAATGGGAGAAACTAAAAGCTGAAATGTTCTAAGCCACTACTGATTAAGAATATTAGTCATAAATTAAAATGAACTACCATCACGAAATAAAATGATTTAAAAGATGGATGCCTATATATGTGGTTTAATAGTTTTCATTTTTGGGGACAGGAATTCTCCAGTTCAGTACTAGACATGCAGCACCTGCACCAGGCTGAGCCTGCAACGCTCCGTAAAGCAGCAAGGACAGGCAGCAGCGGCCCCTTCCATGCCCGGCCCTATCACCTGCTGCATCCAGGTGACGTAAACCGTGCTGGTCAGCCAGAGGCCTTCTCCAACATTTCAACCTCCGGTTTTCATGAAATCTTGATATACAGTAATCCGAAGAATTAATCCCATTTAATTCTCATATCTTCAAACCTTATTTTTCTTTCTTTCCCTCTTCTTCTCCCCTTTCCTCTCCCTCCCTCTCTTTTTATTTTTTCTTGAACTGACCACTGCCTAATGAGTGTGATCATGTTCACTTATGAAGTTGCTATCCAGGAAACCAGCTCCAAACATCCTTCCTGTGGGAGATATTCTAGCTGGAATTAAAAATAACAGACCTCTTGGAAAGATGACAACAGCCATGTGGGCCTGCTGGGATTTCTGCAGCTCCTTTGTCCAGACACCGTCTCAACCCAACAGATGAAATTAGAACGGAAAAAATCTTTTATTCCGAACTATCTTCCTCCACCCTACTGGCACCTGAACGAAACTGTTCTAGTCCAGGTCACCAATGATCTTCCTGTAGTCAAATCCAGAGGCTGGGGCTCCGAGTTCATCTCAGGACTTAACCTCCCCCAGCCCTCCAGCTGACTGCCCCCAGAAGCAAGCCGGACTCTTGGTTGCCATACAGCCCACTCTCCAGCTTTTTGTCCCAATGCTCTGGCAGCTCCTCCTCTAGTTACTTTGTAGGTTCCTCTTTTCTTTTACCTGGCCTCTAATGCTGGCATTCATCAGGGCTTGGCCATAGGTCATTTCCTTCCCTCATAGCCTCTCCTAGGTGTTCTCATGCATTCATGTAGTTTTTATACAACAATAGTCCTGAATGTTTCTGTTAAGCTCTATGCTGCTATGTCCATTTGTCTACTTGATCTCTCTACACAAATACATTAGCATTTTTAATTTAACAAGTCCAAAATGTAAATCTCTTATTCCCAAGCCTGTTTGGTACTCTCTTCTTATTTCCACATCCTGGTGAATGGCACAACCATCATTTGGAGTCATCCTTGATTCCTGTTTCTCCCACACTTCACAGATGCAGTCCACCTGCAAGCCACATTAGTCTTATCTTCAGATATATATGGACTCTGTCAACTTCTGTTCACCTTCACTTTCGCCACCCTAGTTCAAGATACAGGACAGTCCCTGGAAGACTGGAACCAGTGTGGGCTGTCCAAGATCATCACTCTTAAAAGAAGGCCACAGTGTGAATGGTCATCTTTCCTTAACCCTTGGGATATTCTTAAAGACAGAAATTGCAAAGATGAATTTCAGGGTTGTTCAGACAAGAGAAGTTAAGTAGAGTATACTGTGAACCCCACACCTCCCCCCTGAGCTCAGAGGCCAGGACAACTAACCTAGTTACCATATCTAAGAGGTGGGCCGGCCAAGCTACTGTTTCTCGCATGGGCAACTACAATAACCCATTCTTCTCTTTATTTTACTCTTGCCTACCTCCGCGATTCTCCATACAGCATCCACAACGCCTCTTTGTGATATAAGTTAGATCACACCATTCCCTCAATTGAAACTTTTGGTGAATTCTTACCACTTAGATTAAAATCCAAAATTATTAACACGATCCACAAAAGCCTGTGTGATCTGATCCCGGCCAGCCTCTCAGCTGCAGCAGCCTTCACCCGCTCTCCCCCACCCACAGTGGCCTCGGTTCACGTCCTCAGCTGCACCAAGCTCATTCTCTATTCTGGGATGTCACTGCTGACGCCTCTGTCTGGAATGTGCTCCCCCAATTATTCACATGGCACTCCTTTTCATCCTTTAGGATTCCTAAATATCACGTCAGGGAACCCCAATCCATAGCAGATATTCTACTCTCCTCAAGATTGTCTTGTTTTTGTTTCCTCGTAGTGCTTATAACTTGTAATTATGTATTTGCCTCCTGATTTGATTAACATCAGCCTCGATTACAGAGGGCAGTGACCACACTGGTCTTACTTATCACAGTGGACTTCACACCCAGCCTACCGTCGGACACCAGAGTAAGTGCGCAATGAATATTTGATGAACAAATAACTCTATTCCACAAATAGAAAGGGAAGACTTGAAACCAAATGCCAACTTGAGGGAATAATTCAAGGCAAAAGATCTTCATTTAAAGAATACTCTGCCCCAAACAGGTCTGTGTTTGTGATTTTTATCCATTTTTAGAGAGAGAATGGTGGTGAAATGATGACATATATTTGAAGTAAAAGAGGAAA